TAAAATGATCTTATATGTTTCTGTAATGGTTGATCCACCAGTGTGTGCAAACTGTTTAATCAATTTAGTGTCTTTAATTCACAAATTTTCAAATTTCCGGTTTTGCAAAAGGGAAAATAATATTAAAGCAAATTATTATTTGTTAATTAAAATAAATTTAACTGCATTCCTGAACAGAAAAATGAGCTTTAGTGGTCAAATATTACGCTTGAGTAATTTCTGAATTCTCCAGTGGTGGCTGAAGTTTGGGTATAAAAACATGAATTCAGTTATTTTTAGGTTTTGACAGATTTCTAAAAATATTTGGTTTTTAAATTTTTTTTTAATTAAAAAAAATAATTTAATCACAGGTGGTCTATTACATTAAGCACTGTGGGTGTCTCGCCTACTGAGTCTTTAAGCAGTTGGACACTGATTTGTATCTACACTAATTCTTCTCTGGTAGTGAATTTGTCATGCACGTTTTTCCAGTTAATAGAAACATTTCTTATCTGCATTTATGTTTCCTTTACAGAGATATGGCTCTGATGGGCTTAAACTGGTGAACCACGAGGAGACATTATCCTTTGGGCAGGCAGTTCTGAAACTGACCTTTGACCCGGGCTCACAAGATGAAGGCCTGCTAACAGCTGAATGCCGATTGGATCACCCCTTTTTTGTCAAAAACAAAGGTACAAAAACACATGTTCTTTCCTTTTAAATTGATCTTTGCTGTTAGAATCTTCCACTTAAACAATTTGCTGAATCCAATCTATTTAGTTTTTGCATTTCAGTAAACACCTTTAGGATCAAACTAATATATAATATCCTGTTTCAGGGTGGTCTTCCTTTTATCCAAGCCTTACTGTGGTGCACCATGGGATCCCTTGCTATGAGATGCAGCTGGGTGATGTGTGCCTGCCGCCAAACCATCCAGATGCCATTAACTGTGATGACTCAGTCGTCTTTGACACTTTCAGAAGGTATGCTCTTTAGATGGTCATGTAATTTTTTTGCAGTCGTTTCACATTCACTTGGATACATGATA